CTATAGAAGGTCTTCACTCCATTTTTTCTAGTCAACCACATCTGACAGACCAGCTATTGGACCACGCAGATTAGGAACTCTTCACAGATGGAAGCAGTTTCGCAGATCACAGTGAACACCATGCTGGGTATGCAATAGTGACTTTACAAGAGGTCATCAGGTCAAACTCTCCCCCAGTGAGTACATCTCAAAAACTTGAACTCATGTGGGCTCTTGAGCTTTCAACAAGCAAAATAGCTAACAATATATCTTTTTGATTGTCCATGCCCATAGGGGCATATGGAAAGAGAGAGGACTTCTAATCTCCAATAATAAGGATCTGAACCATTCTCAGGAGATAAACACTCTTGGAGGCTGTCCTCATGCCAAAAGAGTAGGCTGTCATGCACTGACCTGGACATCAAAAAGGAACTCCCCAGTAGCTCAGGGGAATCATCTGAACCTACCAGTAGCTCAGGGGAATCATCTGAACCTACCCCATTACCTTACCCTCAGACAGACAAGTGAAACATATCTTGAGTATTAGTAGGCCTGAACTTTGATCTAGTAGAGCTGTGATACCAAGAGCAACTTACCTCCAATTTTCTATTAGGAAGTAAAAAATAGAAATCCTTCAGTTGCTTAAGCCTCCACTGTTTGGTCTTGTTAATTCTGAGCCACAGGACAGGACTTCTCCAGCAGCAGGTTCTCTTCTGTTCTACTGGAGGTAGAATGCCAGAGTAAGATTGTCAGTTTAGAAGAAAAAATATAGGACTCATAGTTAAATTTGAATTTTTAGATTAATAGCAATTTTAGTATAAGGATGCTTCATTCAATATCTGGAGGCATATTTGCATTTAAAAATGATGTTGTTCTTTCAAAATATAAATTTTTGTTTGTTTTATTTTAAGGAGAAAAAATAACAAAATAACGACAAAAACAAAACAACAGAAAAACAATAAAAGTGATACAGAATTTCAAAACAAGATGATAGGAATTAACAATAGTTGTTATATTACATATTGTTATCTTCAGTAAATTTTCTCAGATTACCAGCTGTAAGAATGCAAGGTTGATCAAACAATTAAAGAGAATAAAAAGTAATAAAAAGAACAACAGAAATGATACAGAGTTTGCCGAGCATGGTGGTGCACGCCTGTAACCCCAGCACTTGGGAGGCTGAGGCAGGAGGATTGTCATAAGTTCGAGACCAGCCTGAGCTACAAAGTGAGCTTAAGGCCAACCTAAACTGCATAGCAAGACCCTGCCTCAGAAAGACAAAAAAAAGAAAGAAAGAAAGAAAGAAAGAAAGAAAGAAAGAAAGAAAGAAAGAAAGAAAGAAAGAAAGAAAGAAAAATGAGGGCCAGTGATATAGCTCAGAGGCACAGCACCTGCCTGGCAAGCACAAGGTTGTGAGTTTGATTTCTGGTATCAAAAGAAAAAAAAAAAAAACAGAAAGAAATGATACAGAGCTTCACTAAACAAGATGGTATGAATTTGACAGTGGTTGTTATGTTGCATATTATTGTCTTCAAATTAGTTGTTCAGATTACCAGATACAAGCAGGCAAATTTTGTCAAAAAATTTTAGCATTAACTGTTCCTTTCAATAAACCAATAGACATCAGCAGTACAATTATCCCAGCTATGCTTGTATATATATATATATATATATATATATATATATATATGCTTGTAAAATATATATATACATATATTTTATACATATATTTTCTTTTCTCCTTTCCCTCACCCCAGTTGTTCCTTCCCTTTGAGCAGTTTCTTTTCCTTTCAGGATATCTATTGTACCTTTCAGGTTTTATTTACTCTTTCAGGTTCTTATGCTAGGAAGACAGTACAATATTTACATGTAGGTCTGATTAAAATTCAAAGACCCAATCCAAAAATGGCCATGTGAGGTGAATACACACTTCTCAGATGAAGAAATACAAGTGGCAAATAAATATATGAAAAAATGTTCAACAGCATTGGTCATTCAAGAAATGCAAATTAAAACACTGAGATTCTGTCTCACCCCAGAAAAGATGGCTACCATCAAGAAGTTAACCAATAACACATGCTGGAGGGGCTTTAAGGAAGAAGGAACTCTTTTCCACTGTTGGTGGAAGTGCAAAGTGGTGCAACCACTATAGAAATCAGTGCGGAGATTCCTCAAAAAACTAACAGTATTTCCAAGGTGGCTGCAACAACAACAAAAAGGGAAAAAAAGCTAAAATCTCAAATACCAACTTGTATATTTCAGCAAATATAGGAAACCCCAGCTACCCAGAGCAAAGCACTCATTTCCTACACCTATACTTCACCTCCACATTGATAGAATTTTACTCAATTTTCAGTGGGTGGTAGAGCAGAAAGGATCCTTGATTTGAAAACAGAAAAATCAGCTGTGTGTGGTGGTGCGTGCCTGTAATCCCAGCCCTTGGGAGGCTTAGGCAGGAGGATCACTCTAAATTCCAGGCCAGCCTGGGCTACAAAATGAGTTCAAGGCAAGCCTGAACTGTAGAGTGAAACCCTGTCTCAAAAAGGCAAAAAAAAAAAAAAAAAATCAGAAAAATCTAATTCTGAACTATTTGCCTTGATACCCAGATCAATAAAACTGAAATTATTACATCTATTTTATGGGGCTATGAAAATAACAATATATTCAAGGTGTGTGATAATAAATAAGCATGAACTCTGAGAAAAGTTCCATCCCATTCGTCTAGAGGTGGTATCCATAAAGTCCTGTCCTAGGGTCTGTCTCCTTCCTCCATCCACTCACCTTGGGCCTTTCTCTGCCTCTGCTAAGAAACATTGATTCAGAGGAAGAGAGATGCAGATCAATATTTTTCTAATTGCAGATAATCATGCTTTAAGAGAGGTGCTGCTCAAGTTTTATAATATAGTGGAATGAAGTGGCATAGAATTAAATGGAATGGGATGGGATTTGATGGGATGGGATGGGATGGGATGGGATGGGATGGGATGGGATGGGATGGAATCAAAGCTAGCAGGGAACACTGCGCATTCTTACATAAATATTGTCTTCTGAAATTTGTGCTTCACTGATGTGTGTGTTTGTGTTCATATAATTGAATATATGCATGTTTGCTCATTAGGTCTTTTTGTAAAATTTATTTTCTACTGTGGGCCATACCCATGTTATTGTGCATACTTCTGAATGTTCAGTGTGACGACTGTCCCCAACCAGTGTTTCTGGTGGACTTTTAACACACAGCACTAACTGGGAAACACAAGGTCCCTCCAGAGCCTGACCCCACACTCCTACCACATAAGGGGCATGGTTGAGGACTCATCTGGGGAGCCAGGACATGGGAGATAAGACCTCAACTTCACCTCTGGCAAAAGAGTGGGATTCCAGGAAAGTCTCTGTTCGTGAGGAGAGCCAGTTTAGAATGAGAACAGAAAACATGACCACACAGTTCCTGTGGTTACCAGCCCTGCCCCTCCCTCGCCTGCTGTGAATAATAAATCCCAAGACTAGAAGATAAAACCGGCACCTGCCATGGGCTGCCTCCCTGAGAAGATGTGTCTTCTTTCCCTCCCTCTACTGCTCTTTCTGCTGTGTACCAGAACCAAAGCTGGTGAGTATAAAATCCCTCTCTCTGTAATCTGCAGGATGAGCTCCAAAAACAAAGATGTTTATTCTGAACATAGCTGGCTCTTAAACAGGGTCCCAGGATCTCTCCTCGAGAGTCCCAGAATAAAGTCTCCAGGTGGGATATGTACTGCCATTCTCTTCATACTTCTACTTCCCAAGAACAAGGAATCCTACATTCAGGGAAATCCCAGAGCGTGTAGGAGGAAGAGGGAAATCCCTAGGAAAATGGGCACTTTCTCTTCATATTCTGAGCTTCAGAGCTACAGATTGCTTTGTAATCTGTCCATTCTGTTGCTTCTGCGGTGCTACTCATGGGCTCAGAGAAGGTCAGGCAAGAACCTGGACAATGTGTCCTGTGTAGAGACAGGGAAAGACCTGGGCCTGGGGCAGGATGGGAGCAGGGGGATCCAAGGTGGAAGATGTCTAGACAACATTCAAGGTAGGTTTGGCTGTTTGCTCAGAGAAAGAAATGAGAATTTATGGGGGAAGGTGTTCATGGGAAAAGCTGGTGCAAGAGACCTGAAAGAGTGATGGGAGTGCCTAGGGCCATGATGAGATTCAAGGGACGCCTCTGTCAACCGCAACCGGACCGTGCTTTCTCTGGGCACCGCATCACTGTCTGTGCTCTCTCAAGGTCTTGGAACTGTCTGTTCTAGGGGAAGTCATCGGTGGCACTGAGTGCAAGCCACACTCTCGTCCCTACATGGCCTACCTAGAAATTGTCACTCCTGAGGGACACCGGGGTGCCTGTGGTGGTTTCCTGATACGACGGAGCTTTGTGCTAACGGCAGCTCAGTGTGCAGGAAGGTAAGACGGGCCTGTTTCTCTCCACATGGGAGATAGATGAACAGGCTGGCAACCTGGGCTATACATACAGTGGGTCCTGAAGAAGAGGTCCTGGTACTGGGTCAACTTTCAAGAGAAAGATTGGGGCTTAGATGAATTGATCTCATTGAATAGACACCTTGAGCCTCAGGTACTGTGGGCTCAGCTTCCCTATGGAGGAAAAAGAAGGCCATCCCAAGTTCCCCTCTGAAAGCTTCTCTCACCTCCACCCAACATAGAAAATACTTTTAAAGGTGCACCCATTCATCTCAGCCACTTCTTCCAAGCCCTTTTGAATAACACTAGCCTTTAATTCCCAGGGTTTAGGACCCATTCTTTTCATAGGAGGCAGAACAAGGTCCACAGGGGACCATCACTTCCCTGCTTTCTTCTACTATCTCTTGCTCCAATACCCAGCCCTCACATAGGGCTCCTGCAAATAGGAAGCACTAACCCTATCCCCTGGTTCCGCCATGACCTGCTCATTCTCCAGCAATCCCCAGGAGTCTTGTCCTGGAAATTGTGTCCTTTCCTCAGAAAGCTCTTCCCCGATTAAATCCTGAGTCCCACCCCCCCCCAAAAATAGAAGCAGCCCAGAAAGGGGAGATGGGTAGAGTCCAGTGCTCCAGGGAGGGATTCCAGCCTCTTTTCTCAGAATGCACATCACTCAGGAGAAATCTCTAGCCATCACTGTTTCTGTTTATCCTTCCTTCCTTAAAACAGGTCTGTAATAGTCAACTTAGGGGTCCATAACACAAAACAGAAAGAAGACACATGGCAGAGGCTTAAGGTGGTAAAGCAATTCCTGCATCCAAAGTACAATGACTCTACATTTCTCCACGACATCATGTTACTCAAGGTAACAACATCTTTCTTCTGTTCAATTTCCTGTGACTTTTTTTAGGACACCATTGCCCTGAAATCTCCCTGGTCTCCCTCTGCATGCTGCTCCTTCCCCACTCCTCCTTAGACTTGGCTCCAATGGGAAGTAATTTGCCCTTCCCACCCTGATTGCCTCTTCAAGATCTTGTTGAAGATGGGTGTATATGGTTTCCTTCCAGCCCATATCCTGCACCAACAGCCCCTTATTCCCTTCACAGTTGGAGAAGAAAGCCAACCTGACCCTGGCCGTGGGTACACTCCCCCTCCCACCCGAATTCAACTTCATTCCATCTGGAAGAATGTGCCGGGCAGCAGGCTGGGGGCAAACAAGTGTGGAGGAGCCTGCCTCAGACACTCTGCAGGAGGTGAAGCTGAGACTCCTGAACCCCCAAGCCTGCAGACCCTTCACAAACTTTAAGCACAAGCTCCAGCTGTGTGTGGGTAATCCCAGGAAGAGAAAATCTGTATTCAAGGTGATCCTCTAACCAGGTTCTCCACAAATCACTTTCCAGGGACCAGAATTCTTCTGGCAAGAGATGGAATCAGATGACTGTTGGCTAGTGACAAGTTTGGGGTCATGAGTGTGAGGAACCTGAAAGTGTGAGCATCCTCTCATTGCCCAGAACAGTCTCTGGGCATCCAACCCAGTCTATAGCACAGGGGTGACTGCCCCAGGAAAGGAAGGAGGAGCATCAGACCTAGATACACAATGGCATGAGGATCCAGGGCTCCTGGGTCTGAGTCAAGACCTGCTGACTCCAAGCTGGGACCTATGGGTGGGTTGGAGGATTTCCTAGCTCACCTCTTATCCTTGTTTCTCTCTCTCTCTCTCTCTCTCTCTCTCTCTCTCTCTCTCTCTCTC